TATCAATGAGTAATGTTCACATACTTACGGTGGGCACATGCTAATATGTTCACCGTTTATGTGACATACACACATTGATGATGTATTTTTTTAAACATATTAACATCACCAATGTGTACATGCCACATAATCGGTGTGCATATTAACATGTGCCCTGTGGGTAGGTGAGCATTACTCCTATATCAATTAGCCCCTCAAGCCTACGTGGCAGTATAAGTACCATATCAACAAATATTTTTAGGTGAAAAAAAATAAAAAAAAAAATACCTAAATTTTAATTTACCCTTTTTTAGCTACTACCATGTTAATAAGGGTAAATTAATATTAATGTGAAACGTAACTACGCAAGTCGTTAATCAGTGATGAAAATAGTAGTTGTAATAATAATAATAATAATAATAATAATAATAATAATAATAATAATAATAATAATAATAATAATAATAAATTTTTTTGTTATGCTGCAGCTAGCCACTCATACACTTTTTGATAATCAAATTTTATATATTAAAATACCATATAAATTAATTAAAAAATGCAATATATTATTAGTAAAAAATATAATATAGGTTTGACTCACTGTTATTATTTTTGTAAAAGTTGCTCGACGCTCGTTAGTCGTTAGACAGTATGATGCGTCCAAGGCGGAATCGTAATTTAATAAATCTATTTATATTTATCATCTTACATAATTTATAATATTTATCATATTAATATATATATATATAACTAATAATATGGTCAAATACAAAAACAATGCAAAATCTAATGCATTCATAAGTATTATATTAGTCTTAATATAATTATTAATATTTTAATTATAATATAGAAAATGATCATTGAGGCCAAAAAAAAAAAAAAAAAATCAATTGTTAGCATGGGTTGGGGTAATTTGGATATTTAATTAAGGCGGGAGCCAAAATGTGAAAATACTCAAAATAGCCCAAAAAAAAGACCTCAGAAAAGCAAACGGTGACCTACATGGCCCGGCTTCTAACTATAATAGGCTGGACACCCAAAAACCAACTTCTTATTATCACTATCGTCGCCATCTGCAGCTTAAAAAAAAAAAAAAGTAAATAAATAAGGGGAAAATATAGATGGTCCGAAAAGTAGAGCTCGGTATAGAGCTGTAAACGAACCGAACGTTCGCGAACAAAAGCTCGTTCGAGCTCGTTCGTGATCGTCAAAAGCTCGTTCGTTTATTAATCGAGCCGAGTTCGAACATAAAATGAGGCTCGTTTAATCGAACGAACACGAGCTCGTTTGCGAACGATAATTTAATATAATTTTATTTTATTTTCTATATATTTATATTATATTTTTGATAAAAAATCTAAAAATAAAATTTAATTTTATTTATTTTTTTATATATTTACATAATATTTTTAATAAAAATCTAAAATATAAAAATAGTGTTATTTTATTCTTTTATTTTTCGAGTTTGAACAAATAATCAAACATATTTAAAAAGTTTATATATTAAATTATTCGAACACGAACGAACTCAAACTTTGACGAACAATTAAACGAATGAACTCGAACACGATTTTTTGCTCGAAAAATAAACGAACGGACACGAACATTGATCGAACGTAAACGGACACGAGCTCGAACAACCCAAGCTCGGTTCGATTTGGTTCGTTTACAGCACTAGCTCGGTATATACGAGTATGTACACAGTATATAGTATACTCGTGTTTTTTAGTATGTAGGTGGTGATAGTCGATTTTTTACCAACATACTAAAAGAGTGTGTAAAATATAAAAATTATAGATGTAGAGGATTAAACATTATATCCCTCTATATATTAATACAGAACGCGTTGAGCCTACGTGGCTGCTTCTGGTGTTTCGGAATCTTATGTGGCAAAATTACATGCTTCGTTATTAGGCTTGGGTAAATTTTAATTTAATTCCAAACCAAAAATAATTAGGTTCGGATTACCATAAATATGTTGATTATTTATGGTTATCTTACATGTATTAATTGTATTTTAATATCATTCCTTATTATAACTATTGAATTGTATATATATTTTAAAAGTTAATAACTTTTGTATTTTTTATCAGTTTTACATATGTAATATATCAAATTAATCTTCTTTTGATGAATTTCGATTTAACATCAATATTGTATGTATAAAAAAAAAATTTATATTTATCTTTATAACAATAATAAAATTACTTTTAATATCAATTAGAAAAATAAAATTATTTATCAACTAATATATTTATATTTCAAGTAGTTATATGATATAAGTAATAAAAACTAATATAATATAACACATGTAAGTCATAAGTAACACATATCATTCCAAAATATATAGTAATATATTTTTTTTTGTAAAAAAAGTAAACTAAATTTAATATAATTTTCTCATTAATTTTAAAATTTAAGAATAATTTTTTAACAAGCACTCGTGTAATACACGGGTGTTGTACTAGTATTTTTTATTGATAATCTTGACATGACAATGTACATGTTTGATAGTTATTATTATCTTTTTTTTTTATTTTTATTTGTATGAATTTTTCTGAAGTGCTTAATAATATTTCCTTCTAATTGTGAACAATTTTTTGCAATGCACATGTGATTAATTAGATATAAACTTGAAGGATTTTGTTCGATTTGACTTATATTTTATAAATCACATCTTTTTCAAAATTTTGACTTATTTTTATTTATATTTCCGTGCTTTCGAATTTGAAATCATCTGTTGGAATAATTTGTAATTACTAATATTTTGTATACTTTTAACACGTCTTTGGGGTAAATTTTTTACGCACTCTATAGATTAAATTTTATATTTATATATATGTTGAATTTAAACATCCTTAGACATTTTTTGGTTACGAAATAGTTTAGAAAAATTTTAGGTGAATTCAAATGTTTTAAGAATAATATATAATATTTTACATAATCTTATATATGTTACATAATAATTTAGATGTTTTTTAATATTTTAGACATATATGTTTTATGCTATCTTAGACAAGATAATTTTATATTGTAAATTATATCACATGTTAACTCTACTTGTTTAATTTAGAATCATTATTTAATATTGTTTATTTTATTCACTAATTTACAATTATTATTTTATATAGCTTACCCTCGCACGGTCTACGCATTAGCTAGTTATTTATTTTTTTGAGTTCTTGTATCGTATTTTTAATAATTCTGGTGAAATTGGCATCAAAAGTATGTTTTTTGAAATTATGATAATTAACACGTATATTTATGAAATTAGATATCATGAATATTCGGTTGATAAGATCTTCCATAATTAAATTATACTTATTATGTTTATCAGTACACAAAATGAAATTTGATGGTGGTCACGTGATCTGGAAAATACCTTTTTTTTTTGCTGATATTATATTTACAAGATAGTATTTATTATTCAAGTACCAAAATACATATACTATTTAAAAAAGTATATAAAAAAAACCCCCAAATTTGTGACCACATCTCACGCATTTCTTCATTCATTTTCATTTATATATAATGTTATAAGAAAAAGTGTATATTAAATTATTAATATATAGCACTTCTTATCCGGAAGTAGAAACTTTCAAGAACGGTCTATTACTTATTGATTTCCTTATAAAAAGTTTTCATTTTATCAGTTATTATGAAAGTTAGAGAACAATTAATTTGATCCATTTAATCTTTATTCCCAATCTAGAATTATCAACATAATTTATTTATTTATTTATGATAAATTAATGTGTGATGGTAGAAAATGGTAATAACAAATCTATATATATATAATTGCTGGCATATAGTATTTAATAAAACATTTAATAAAACCTCCATTCATTTTCCCGCTCATTTTTTCAAT